TTTTTTTTTTTTTTTTTTTTTTTTTTTGTAATATTGTTAACTCTTTATTCTGTTTTATTGCGTTTGTCCCATTTTCGTTTGTTTGCTCCGTGTTTTATCAATATTTGGTGATCGATATTTAACGTTCGAACATGGAAGGAGAGTAATTATCGAGTAAATATCAGAATTGGTCTGTTAATGATTTACAGTGTCTCGTAAAGTTTAATATATTTAGATTACATAATAATTTATTGATAATAATAATTGTCATTTTTATTTTTATAAACATAAACAGTGGTTAGAACGGTTGAGATAACTTATGGTAATGGTGCAGGAGAATTAGTACGATGTGTATATGTACAAGTCGTTAAATTCTTATAGTTTTCTTGAAAATAATATTATTTCTCAGATAGTAAGAATGTAATAACAATATTTGTAGATACGTAAATTTGCATATCTTCTGGAATAACTTAAAAAGCTGAAACACTGAATTAAAGGGAATATCCAATATAAAAATTTGCCTCTGAGCATGTCAAAATAGAAAGATAAAATGATGAACTCGATAATATATTATCTTATTTGGCTGGATGTTATTTAGATTAACCATACGTTATTTACAAGAAATTTTCTCTGTTATTTATTTTCATTTATTGTTAGTATTTATTTCATGTATTATCATTGTCTATTAATTTTTCAATATTTGGCTATCAAACGATAAAATTTTCTATTTCATCTTTTAGTTTGTATTTGAATAAAAATCCTTGCATGATCAAATAACGTTATGCCAAATAATCGAATGAATCCAAGTAAGAAATTACACGAGAACGATTTATTTGCAACAAAGTTATTTTCTCCGTGTTGTTTCTAAAAATAACAGTAATAAATTAGCTCAAATATTTCATTGTTTCCTATTGTTATTTTTTCTTTTGTTTGAAGTAAAATGCGTACGAAATTTTTCGCCGTGCGAAGAGTTAGTGATAAAATTTCTAGTATGGAAGGAAACGCACACCTGTACTCCTATATAGGATATGGTAAAATACGGCTTCATTTTGTGCAAAGCTTTATTTATACACGTTTCTCTATATTTATTTTACGCGAACGTTAAAAACATCGTATTGCCAGGACATGAAACGTTCCACTTAAACGCTCGCGTATCGTTCGAAAGGAATTTTCCAGAAAACAAGCCACGAGCTGTAATAAACAAAATATAAATAAAATTAACATGCAATTTACATACTGCGAAATTCATTACAGCGTAATATTACCATAAATGTTTAATATATCATGCTAAAACAAATTGTCCTTTTCGTGTATTAATATTTATATAATGGAATTTGCAATTGAGTGTTACACTTTTCGTTATGAAAAACGGTCGGATTATAGGATCACGCAAACGAATGACAGGTGAATTACTTAATTGGTTTTTCTGGTTTTCTAGTAAAGTGGAATTTTTACAAACCGCAGGAGATCTCTCGATCACATTCGCAGATATGAAAGAAAGAGGTTTTTAAATTTAGTTAATCCATTGAAACCCGAATTTATTGCAATAACGCTTCGATCTATTCGTAAAAGCTTTAAAATTTGCAGTTTGAGGTCAATTCGCAATCTCTGATGAGTTTCTGATAAAATTGAAGAGAGTCAGAATGCAATTTGATTAGTTAAGAATCAAACAACAGTTTATCATAATATTGCGAATACTTCAATTACTTGAAGTTTCAGAAAGGCCTTAAAGGATAAAATCCTTGGAATCTTCTTTCGTAGCTCTAATATTAGTACAATTGTGAATTGATTGAAAAGAATTGTAAACTGAGAGTCGCATATTGGATTAATAATAAATTTTATTAACTGCTAAAGTACACACGTGTGTACGTATATACCGTATAAGTATAAAGTGTGTACACACAGTACTTTGCACGCATACTCGTTTCTGCTTCACTTTTATCACAACATGTACGCAACATAAATATGCATAGCGATATATCAATGCCTGTTCTTTCTTTTTTCTTTCTCACAAGGCGAAATCGATGACGCTTCATTTTGTATTTATGTGCACATTTAGAAATCAGAATGAAGTATTCTCACAATATTCGTTAATATGTAATGTTAGAAAATAATCATTTATAATAATATATAAATTATCACTATGTACTGTTTATTATAGTGTAAATTAATATGTATTTAATAGTAGAATACCAGTGTCTAATACGTGCCAAAATATTCTACATATAGATCATTATAATTTAAAATAAATAGATCCATACAATTGCGTCTTAGAAACCAGTATATTAATTTTGTCAAAAATAGTTTCTCAACAATTGTAAGAAAAAAAATCTAAGATTCATTACATTAATAGATTTGGTACTTCCAGTGTTAATAAATTAAATTTTGTTCTAATCTTTCAATTCTAAATCTTTCAATGATAAAGAGACATTCAGAAAATTTCTTAGTCCACGTATCAAAAGCTAGAATTTAATTATGCAAATTGATTAAAAATAGTTGCAAATGAAGCGTTGTGTTAACATATCGCCCAAAATATTCCACATAGAAATCATTATAATTTGAAATAAATAGATCCATACAATTGCGTCTCAGAAACCAGTATATTAATTTAGTCAAAAATAGTTTCTCAATAATTGTAAGAAAAAAAAAATCTAAGATTCATTACATTAATAGATTTGGTATTTCCAGTGTTAATAAATTAAATTTTGTCCTAATCTTTCAATTCTAAATCTTTCAATGATAAAGAGACATTCAGAAAATTTTTTAGTTCACGTATCAAAAGCTAGAATTTAATGATGCAAATTGACTAAAAATAGTTACAAACGAAGCGTTGCGTTAACACATCGCTCAAAATATTCCACATATAGATCATTATAATTCAAAATAAATAGATCCATACAATTGCGTCTCAGAAACCAGTATATTAATTTTGTCAAAAATAGTTTCTCAACAATTGTAAGAAAAGAAAATTTAAGATTCGTTACATTGACAGATTTGGTACTTCCAGCGTTAATAAATTAAATTTTGTCCTAATCTTTCAATTCTAAATCTTTCAATGATAAAGAGACATTGAGAAAATTTTTTATTTCACGTATCAAAAGCTAGAATTTAATGATGCAAATTGACTAATAATAGTTACAAACGAAGCGTTGCGTTAACACATCGCTCAAAATATTCCACATATAGATCATTATAATTCAAAATAAATAGATCCATACAATTGCGTCTTAGAAACCAGTGTATTAATTTTGTCAAAAATAGTTTCTCAACAATTGTAAGAAAAGAAAATTTAAGATTCGTTACATTGACAGATTTGGTACTTCCAGCGTTAATAAATTAAATTTTGTCCTAATCTTTCATTGATAAAGAGACATTCAGAAAATTGTTTAGTCCACGTATTAAAAGCTAGAATTTAATGATGCAAATTGATTAAAAATAGTTGCAAATGAAACGTTGCGTTAACACATCGTTGGTGCTTGATGGATTAAGGTATAATACTCTCGAGTGATTTTAATTAACATGGAGCTGTTCTGTTTGCAGGTACAAGGGTGATCACGTGATAAATTACAGTCAAAGAGGTGGCATCAACGTAGTCACTGAAAAGCAAACGCGAACGTCACGCCTCTTGATATCCAAGGCGTTACCTGCTGATTCTGGAAATTACACGTGTGCCCCGTCTACGGCCGAGTCAGCCAGTGTTCTAGTCCACGTACTCAATGGTGGGTGAGTCAGAATAATAAAAATTTTCCCGGAAAGGTCGTAAATTTCTCGGTTAGCCTGAAATACGCCAGAGCGACGGAGTTTATGGCAATTATACGTATGTAGGAATTTTGAAAATAATTCCTCTGCCACTTTGAATAATCACAAACCTATAGGACAATCTTTTGGAAACAATTGACGAATGAAATCAGAAAATTGGTGGTTTAGTGTTTTTTGAGGAATTTGGAAAAAATAATAGTATATATAAAACAATTTTTTATATACATTAAGGAAGACTTCAAGAATCAATATTGAAATGACTATTAATATGTGAATTTAAGTGTAATGAAAGATTAAGATTCAATCAGAGTTCAGAAATTCGTAAGAATTTTGAAAGAAATTGCTATCTTAAACAATTGTATGTAAATATAATTTCTTTTCGGAAAATAAAATCAAAAGTAGAGGATTTGCTACTTTCTTTAGAAACTTGGAATGAAATTCTTAACCTAGTTAAATCACAATTTATGAGCTAACATTTTGAAATAAACTGCAGGATGAAATAAAAAATTAGGATTAAATTAAAGAAACTAAATCGAGATTTAGAAATTAATAGAGATCCTGAAAACAATTTTTATATTACCTTAAATGATTAAATACAAAATAATATTTTTGGAACAAATTCGAGAATGAAAACAAAAAATAGGTGGTTTATTATTTGAAAAAAATTCCTGTGAAAATGATGATTCTTATTTTTAAATAATTATATATATATATATAAAGTAATTTTTTTTTAATGAATCAAAGGACAGAGTCAAAGAGTAGGGTTTACTATCCTTTAATCAAAACCAATTCGTGATAATTAATTGCTATTAACACACTTACATTTCGATATATTCGAAATTATTATCGATATTTTCAGAAATTTAGACATATTTAGACATACTACGCAAGTCCCAGTATTTTAAATTGCTCGATGAAATAAACCGCATGATCTTTCATATATTTGTACAGAGCGTTCCACAGTTTACTGTATACATTTTGTCAGTGTGTTTCATAGATGAAAATAAGACTAACAAAACGAGCAAAATGTCCATTCATGCTTCGTTAAAAAGTTAAAATATGAAATATGAAACGCAAAGCTATACATATCAGTCAGTCACGCAATTCAGCGTACGTCTGACAAATTTCAAATATTTCAAACAGAGAAACAGAGTTTCGAACATTTTATAGCTGTTAAATCCGATTATTCACGATGACGATTATATTTTTTTTAAAATAATGTATCAATAAATTGAAAACATCTCATTATCATACGCGTAGAAAATTGAGTAAAAAAATATCGTGATAATAATGATAATAATAACATATTTTATACTCTTTAACGTATTTACGATCATTGTAACTTTTTTCTGTTTTTATCTGCTTTCTAATAAAAAAATCTAAGAAACATCAATATTTCTTAAAACTTTTTAATAAATTCTTAGTGAATAAATAAATTAGCATTCATGAAATATTTACTTTTGTTCTTTTTTTTAAATATATAAACTTTTGTTCTTTTTTTTAAATATTTAAAAATTACAAATGTATTTCGAAGTCGTCTACTTTTATCGATGTTAAACCTAACTAAATTTTATTGTGATTCTGTCTAATTTTCTTAACATGCAATTAAAATTTTTGTCGTGTAGATACTTTGGTATTGTAAACTTTTAATTTCAGAATCTCCTCGATAAATTCTTAAATATAGTTTCGTCAATATATCTACCAGAATAATAAAAGCACTATATATTAACTTATCACGAACACTATAATATATTTTCCTGTTCTAAATCGACAATAAAAATATCAGATTTGTTGCATTTTTCAACCTATTAACTGTGTCTGAAGTTGCTTCGCGGTGCGAAAAAAAGCGCCACCTTTTGCTATTTGAATAAAAATTCTAGTAAAAACTAAAAAATATTGGTAAATTTAATTAGTTATCGTAAATTTCAAAATGTTTTGAAACTGAAATAAAAAAAAATTCATTTAATAAAAAATACACGCAATAATAAATTGCTGTTACTGCAGCTTGTAAAATTGTAAAATTCCCTGAAATTCATTTTGAAATAGAATATTTATTTAATTGCCTGTCAGTGATTGCGTAACACGTTGACAATATTTTTCTATCAACTTTTCTCATGTTTCAAAGCGACGGATTAAATTTTCGACGTATCATTCCTTACTAAATACATCGTGAATTTGATTTTCATTCCTTTCTAAATTTCTAATTTAGTTTGATTGATTTTCTAATTCATTATACCTTTTCACGTGTTTGTTTTTCTCGATGAGAAAATTACGAATGCTTAAGTTTCATTAACAGTATCAATAAATCTGAGCGACAAAATTATTGATTTTTTTTTTACGAAACCAGTTGCCACAGTATTACAATTTAATTCAATTTTGCAACAGATGCATTCGTAATTAATTCAATTCAATTTTACAGCAGATGCGTTCGCTCTGTGTTCTAAGTATATTCATCAACTCGTAATTTAATCTGTACAATTAATGGGTTAATAACATGATATCATGTCACTTAATTTTATTTTCATCTGTAAAATACAACGACAGAGTACAGTATCGTGCATAAATATTCGAACAATTCTAAATTATTGCAAATGTACAAAATTCGTATGAATGCTCTTAATTTAATAGTTAATAGAATAGCCAATATCAATCAGGATAGATAAAAAAAAGCGATGGTTGAACAGCTGAAGATTTATTTTGAAGAGACACCTTAATTTTCAATTGTATATAAATTTTACGAAGCGTCAGAAATGAATATATATTCGCATATATTTCTTTCTTTAATTTTTTAATTTATTTTTATTTGTATATATTAATTTATTTTTTATTAATTTTATTTTTAATTTATTTTTATTTATATATATTAATTTATTTTTTATTAATTTTTTTACTTTAGTTTTAATTTATTTTTATTTATATATATATTAATTTATTTTTTATTAATTTGTTTACTTTATTTTTAATTTATTTTTATTAATATACAATAATTTATTTTTTATTCACTTTTTACATTAAATTTAACAGAAATCTGATCTGGTAAATTATACTAACTGTAAGATGTAAAAAATTAACACTATGGGAATGAAACAAAAATATCATCAACCCTTTTATGAAAATTGCACTGGATATTCGATTACTTGTTACTGTGTTCGCGTCTCTCGTTTTGACAAATCAAATTTTCGAAATGCTCGTAGCATCCTCTTTGGCGCACCGGATGGCAATATAAAGAAATACCATCACCTTGCGTGATAAATTTCCTTTTTGGACAGCTCGTACTGCATATTTCACGTACTGCGAGCAGACGTTGCGAAACTGCGTTCTATATTAGTGAGACACCTTCAGACGTGTAGCGTACTCTCGTCGAGATTTTCAATTATTTAGAAAGTTATCTGGTAACGTTGTTCGAATGAGAACCGTGGATCCTCGGAGGAACACGGAAGCAGAGGTTTATGAACGTCATAAATCCGCGAGATGACGAAGCTGGTAAGTCGTAGCGGAGATAAACTAAACGGCGGAGGTTGTAAAAAGAAGAGGGAGAACGCGGGTGTCAGTGCGCTCTATGGTTGGCAATAAACTTGATACCGCTGCCACATGTCACCAGAAATAGCAACCGCCTATAGTTTTACGCATTCCAAAAGACCAGATAAATAAATATATTCGCGACTGCACGTTTCAATCCTATCAATCCCGTTCTTTTATCTGTTTCTTTTTTGTAGGTTTCAATTTTGTGATATTCTTTTCTACGCAGAGGTCTACGAGATATACTGATTTCTGAGAAATTGTAGATTTCAAATTTAGAACTGGGACATACGTGTGTCACATCTAGGGTATGAAGATGTTAATATTCAAAGTAAATATATCTTTTATTACAACGTGAAATGTGTAGGGTTTAAAAATTTCAGTAAGCTGTGAAACAGAATAAATCACGTTGCATTTCATTAAACAAAATTCTGTGCACAAATCAAAAAAAGATTCGTTTTGAGATTTGTCTGAGACACTACCAAACACTAATTGTTAACACTAGTTAATGCCAGAACTACCAAAATAGTCAAAATGATCAATTTGTAATTTTTTCTTTTTTATATTTTATATTTTATATTTTATATTCTATATTTTATATTTTATACTTTATACTTTACACTTTATACTTTATACTTTACACTTTACACTTTATACTTTACACTTTACACTTTACACTTTACACTTTACACTTTACACTTTATACTTTATACTTTATACTTTATACTTTATACTTTATACTTTATACTTTATACTTTATACTTTACACTTTACACTTTACACTTTACACTTTACACTTTATACTTTATACTTTATATTTTCTTTTTTATATTTTATAGGTGTGAACAGTGCATTTTTAGAGACTTAAGTGATTTTTCGTATAGCTTGTGTACTCTATTGTATATTGTATACACATAGATTAGAATATATACAAATTTCGTAAAATTGTGGAATCTAGAATTTTTGAAATTTCCTTGCATCACGTTCAACATTAAAAAATAGTAAATATAAATTAATAGATAGATGACGTAAATTGTTTATATTAGTGTTATTATTATTTTTTATTTTAATGTCTCTGATGGAAATTTTAGACATTAATCGTCAGTAGTTTTAATGTTAAATACTTCTCACAGAAATTTGACAATGTTGACCGATAGAATTCGAAATTTATTTCTCTGTATTTTTTCTGAAACGTGTATGTCCTATCGGGACTGAGAAAATATTAAACATTTGTTAAATTAAGACGTAGGTTATCCAGAATTTTTCTTTATAAAATGGTTGTCTTCTAATTTTAGAAATAAAAATTTATTCGAAAATGTTTGATCTACAATCTTTCGATCTACAATCTTTTATTAACTAGCTATTTATTTTTAAATTTATCTTCAAATTATCTTCTAATGATAAGTATTAGCTCAAAGTTAATATTCACAGGAAAAATAGA